CTCCGTGTTTATCGGTGTTTTTGGACTTAGCAAAGGCTTTTGATACGGTCAATCATAAAATTCTGTTGAAAAAGTTGTATAACTATAAATTCAGAGGAATTGCCAACAAATTAATTGAAAGTTATCTTACTGGGAGAAAGCAGGTAGTAAAAATCAATAGAGTTCCTCAAGGAACCATTCTCAGTCCTATATTTATCATATTATATATTAATTATTTTTTTGATATTCTACCAAAGGGAGTAATTGTCTTTTGCTGATGACACTACGCTAATTGTTAAAGCTAAAACTTGGTCTGAAGTAAAGGATTTAGCATAAGCTAAATTGAGTCTAACTGCGAAATGATTGAGTGTAAATTTCCTAACCTTAAATATACAAAAAACTGTTTTCATAACCTATGGTAGTTATGTTGACAGCATACCTTCAAAAATTGAGCTACAGTTACATACTAGTTCGTGTGGTATTAATAGTGATCTGTGTGATTGTCCATTTCTGGCACGAGTGAATTCAGCCAAATATCTTGGAATATGTGTTGACTCAAATTTGAAGTGGAAAAAACATATCACACAAGTCACAAATAAAGTCTGTTATTTAATTTATGTGTTTTATAAATTGCAGAGTATTTTTAGCGAAAAACAATTGTTAATAATGTATTATGCGTTATTTTGGAATATTGCGACTTATGGAATTATAACATGGGGTGGTGCGTATTATAACACAATTAAAATGCTATAAGAGAATACTTAAAATTGTTTATAGAAAAACCAAACTATATTCCTCTGAATTACTTTTTGAAACGTATAGACTCGTCTCTATCAGGAAATTTTTCTTAGAAAAATCTCTTCTGAATAATTTTGACTATCTTAAACAGAAATTTACATCACTATGTAAAAATAATAAGAGAAACAAGTTATTAGTACCGCCGAAAATTGTGAAAGTAATCAGTCGACGTAACCATAATTATATTAGTTATAGGATTTTTAATTTACTGAGTAGTGAACTCAAAAATACCAGCTACGATAAACTGCGTAAAAATTCAAAGAAATTGCCTAGAAACTTTATAATTGAGCTTAGCGATGAGACAGATTCTTCATTTTTTCAATGAGATTTATGAAATTAAACTATATTGTGATAACTACTTTTTTACTTTCTGTACTTCGAATTTTCTATTTCTTTTGTAATATATGCTTCATTCTTCTTTTCTTTGTTTATTAATTATACTTTCTGAATTTTTTTGTATTTTTTTTCTTTTATAAATGAGCTCTTGAAAACAACTGGTGCTCAAGGGGAGGGGGGGGGGGAAGAGAAAAAAAAGAAGAAAAAAAAGATTGATAACAGGCCTGCGCACTGGATTAATTCCTCAGCGGAATAATAATGTACATACTTATATTATATGTATTTCACAGTCTGTTAATAAATAAATAATAAAAGACCATGTAAAACGGGCTTAAGATGGAGGTGGTCTTTAGGGAAGACTTGACATGTAGCATCGCATCGCACAGGGTTGAGTTTTCTCTGTTTGGCAACTCGAGGTAATTTTTGACTGCCCCAAGGTGCTGACAAAGCTCTTGGACAAAAAATTGAGATTTTCATCTGCTAGCGGTGTCATGCTTCAGGGAAGGATATTTCTTCAAAGACTGATTTTCTGGATATCATGCTCTTTTAGAAATGTGGGGGATTTGTTGGAAAATGATAAATGATCTCTACAGCAGTTTACACATTGCGGGTTAGACATTTGGACACGCGAGAATCTTTTCCGCAATTCACATATTGCACTGCCCATGCTGCTGGATATGCCAAATCTCTAACATTTGAGCCAGCGCAGCGGATTCGGCACATACAAACCTTTGCATAGACAGATTGTAAAACGTACACGAGATCTTCTCTGGAAGAGAGGGGCAGTCAAACGTGAGGATCAGCATTGTGGTGAGAGAGGGGTGCCACATTTAGCTACTGAGCTAGCACTTCTGCTGAGTTTAAGGTATGTGGTACAACACGTGAACCTGGATGGCAGCAATTTTCTCGACTTTAATGAAAATTCTTGATTTGTTCGTTGGAACGATGTCAAAAATTCGGAACAACCAACAAAAATAATGGTTCCAATGCAATGATTAACAACTCCCCACAATTTCTCCAGCTTTTCTACATGCATTGCCAATGTTATAGCTTTTGCAGTCTTCATTGCTTTGCCTTCTTTGATGCATTACATCACAATAAAGCAGAGGCGATGTCTCCTGAGGTAAGTCTACTGGAGACATCTGGCAACAGAAATGAGCAATTGAGGGAGAAGCAGATGAAATCTGACAACTCGCTGTTGTTTCTGCCATCTTGGCAAGAGTACTGGAAAAAGAACGCCCGAGATCTACAGGGTTCTTCACAGAGTATTGGCCTATCGCAGGAAAAGATACCTTCTCCGTCTTCTCCTTTTAGATTACCCTCTCCCTCAGATATATCCCTCTAGGGCACCTGTTCGAGTTGGCTGCATGGTCTCCTTCGCAGTTGACAGCGAAGTGGAGAGGCTCAGGGATCTGAATCGAGCATGGATTCGGATGATCACAACTAATCCTCTCTGGAAGAGAGGGGAGATTAAACGCCAGGATCAGAGGAGTAGCGACCTCTCTCCCATTCTCCTTTCTCTTAAGCCTAAACACCTCCGTTACACCCTGACTCTTGAAAAAAGACAGAAGTTCTTCCTCACTTTCGGATGCAAAGTCATCGTGATTCACCAGTCTCTTACAAAGGTTAAGTACAGGGTGAGTGGTCACTTCTAACTGGAGGCCGGCAATCTGCTTGGTTTTCGAGATTTTTCGATTTGCTCATCTTTGCATGCTTTGGAGAGAATAGTACCATTCCTCTGACGCACCACCGCTTGGAGTTACCGAACTGTCCTCAATGGCTCGCGCGAGACGAACCGCACTAGTACTTTTAAATGTTTCCTTCTTCCGTGCACGCCATCAAAAGGAAACGTGGCTTCTTTGGTTTATCTTTTTCCCTAAGGAAGAGACAACTAAAATCCACTGTTTACTCAAAACATTGCCTCTTTCTTCCGAAAGAGGGCAAGGGATTTGTTTTTTGCTCCAGAGAGTTAGAGTGAATTCTTCTCCGTGCTCCCCACCCACCACGGAGTCCAACAAAAGAGACACCCCACTGGGGTGGCAGGGTTGACACGAAGATTTAGAGGGAAGATGTCACAGTGCTGCCAAGCCCCGCTCACCCTGGAGTTCAGTACAAGACCCGTCTAGACGGCCCGTCTAGAAGAGTCTGAGGCCAAAGCAAGTGTGTTGGACACCTACAAGGAATGTTCCCCAAAATACGTAAACAACATATTCCTAGGTGCAAAGCAGAAAGTAGCACAAGGAGTAGTTGGAAAGCAAACAGGCCCCTCAACCTTCCCTCCGGGAAGTGAAATAGAAGGGGTAGAAAAAAAGAGACAGTATGTTATAAAAGAACGAGAATGAACGATGGGGAAGATCAAGAAGATTGGTGAGAGAAAGGATCCCTGCATTCCCCTGTTAGGACGTGGACCGACCCACCTCGACGGGAAGAGGATGGAAGAAGGAGAAAGGAACTTCCCTGCATCCCCTCAATAGGACATGGACTGACCCACCTTGATGGGCCAATTAACGAGTGTGTGTATATATAAAATAATTTAAACATTATATAATATATTACAATATACATTCACCATTGAAATGCTGATAAACAACTGCATCATTATTGGGTGAAGAATGGGCTTTAGATGGCAGAATTGAGGGACCTCAGAGTAATTAGTGGCAGAAAGAGTGCCCACAAATGACCTTCGTAATCACACATTACCTTATTAGGTGGATCCACCATCGACCAACCGTCAGATGATTCAGATGGCTCAAAAGAATGAATGTCTGCAGCAGGTTCCCCTCCTTCAGGGCAATTTCCTTTTGATGCACTAGTATCACCATCACTTTCTGGTTCCTATTAAATAGTTTCATAGTTATTGCAAAAAACCTACCCTGTTTTATTAAAAAACTTGTTATGGAATAAAAATGAAACACATCCTAATGAGAAGAAATTGTTAAATAATAATATTAAAACAATAACATAGTGGTAAAAATGGAGGGATCCTACAGCAGAAAAGATAAAATCAGTATAAGAGACAGAAGAATCAGTGAAATTATTAAGGAGTATTGGTAAGAGGAAAAACAACACTCAAGGAAAAAAGATGGTATCTAGTTGACGTTAAGAGGACGAGAAAGGAGAAGAAAGTGGAAGAGCAGCAGGTGGAAGGGGAACTGGTACCAGAGAGAGCAGAGGAGGATAGAGTGGAGAGGAGGAGAAAGAGGAAAAGATGAAAGGGGAAGCAGAAAAGAGGAAGAAAAAAAGAAAAGAGAAAAATAATAATATTTTTTAATTATGCTGATAACATTCAATCTATATTAATTTGAAAACCCAAAATTAACTTCAAAGATTATACCTTTCTTCCTTGTACAATAAGTAAAACAAATAATAAGAATAAATTAAAACTAAAAGTCATTTCTGCTTCAAAAAACTTAAGAATTTTCAAACACTAAAGTATTTTCTTACCAAACACGGGGCAGGACAAAATTGTTGACTGTCATTCAAATTATCATAATCATAATCATTGATATCACCATCTTCTTCTTCTTCTGGAAGTATTTCTCTATTCTTTTGAGTTGAGGTTACGTTAACACCACACTTAGGGCAGTTGAAGAACCTATCCGAAAAATATGATTAACACAAAAAATAAAAAAAAACTACATGATAATTGAATGACAGATGATAGTATTTTCAAGTAAAATACCATAGTATGTGAGAAATAAACTAGTGATGGTAGAGATTGGCACAGTCTTTCCTGTATTAGTATTCTATTTTCATTGCTCTAGGCTAGTTATTCAGACTTGCAATATATTCTTGCCTGCTGCCTTCAATCACCGCCCAAAGAAGGTTTTTTTTGAAATTTTCTTACTTTTTCGGCTTCCTAATATTGGAATTGAATTATTACTTTAAAAAGACCTCATCCCAAATGGCAATTTTCATTGAAAAATCTGGATCTGCTTTTAAGAAAACAGCATTTAAGCGCTACTGTAAATTCGAAATTTTTGAACCTTTTTTCACAGAAAACTGTTGTGTTTTCGAAAACCTTCATAAGACATCATTTCAAGAACTTCCAGTCACAATAGGGTTTACAAGTTGCTGGAAATGTGCATTCTAAAGGCATTAGAGATCTTTTATAAAAATTACATTTGTGTAATTTTTGAAAAAACAAAAGAATACAGCAAAAATAATTCTGTCATCTTAAACAGTGCAATTAGCACTATCTGTTGGAAAAGTTTGAAGAAAAATGTTTGAGCAGTTTTAGAGAAAATGCAGAATTTTGAGCTCTTTTTTATGGGCAACTGTTCACATGTACTCATGGCATATGTACTCATAAATACATTAAGAACATAACGAAATTGCTAATGTTAATATTAACGACAAGAGCCAGGTCAAAAAATAAATTTTTGTAATTAAAAAAAAAAAGAAGGAAAAAGAATACAGCAATATGGCGTATACGTCACTTGATAGAGTGCATTTAGCACAATCATTACCAAAAGTTAAAAAAAAAAATTTATAGCCTTTTTGAAAACATATTGCGCACAGTATTGCGCGAAAACAACTAACTTTTTCAAAAATATGTTAATGAACTTATTGAAAGAACTCGCTATGGAGAATACATTTTATTTGAAGGGAAAACCTCTACTTTCACTTTTGAAGTTGCAAGAAGACACCCAAAAAAGCCAGAGTTAAACCTGAAAATTGGACCTACTAAGTATATTTAACTCTATTCTCGCAAGAAATTTAAAGAAAAAAATTGTAGCCAATTTTGAGAAACTTTTGAAAATGTCCAGAGAGCTTCATGCAATGTATCCGCAAATTTCAAAGAATATTTTACAAAATCGCAAAGCTTCGACTCGAGCCAGATCGACGTGGGATTTTTCAATTTGGAAAAAATCTTTCGCTTGGTTTAGGCGCTGTTTTCACAGGCACTGGACAGACAGTTGAGGGGGGGAAAAAAGAAAAGGTACAGGGAACCCCGCAACATTACATAACTTTCTCTACACTACGTGTATTACTCTGCGTGTATGTGGGAAAGTAAAAAGGAGTGAAACAAGAAGGTGAAAGTTAAAATGAAAAATGAAATTTCACTCTCAGAATTGGCTAGCAATTTGCAAGCTTCAAATTTACAAACGATTAAAAAATTAAAAAAGTTTATTAGGCATGTAATGAGAGCACAATTTATTTTTAAAATGACAAGAATATTGAACAATGCAAAAGAGTATAAACCACAAGCCATAATTCATTAAAAAATTGGTATCATGATAAAAATGAATATGAATAATGATTGTCTTCCTAGCACCATAATCAACATGTGTGTTAGAATGCACATTAAATTGATGCTTCATAAAAAGAATAAAGAAAACTGAAGCCTAAATATGACAGTTAATAATCTTAGGAGCATATACAGATGGCCTAAGATTTAAGATTTCTTTGCATAAAATAAAATCAGAAATCACAAAATTTTATTTTCTGAGGGATTTTTGGTTCTTTCCAGAACATACTCCTGTTTTTTAAAAATTTTCTTATCAAAACTTTTAAACTTTGTGTACTTAGCATTCAGAACTACCATACAATACCAGCCAACAAACCACGCATTGCTTTCTCACGAACGTACATGAAATTATATGAACAAATGTAGGGAATGGCTTTCCAATATATACGTGTTGGCACAAGTTGACAAAGGAAGATTCCGAGAAAATAGTGCAAGCTTGAAGTTGTATTGATTTGCAAAAACTGGTTCCACAAGAAGTGCATTGATTTTAAAATGAAAAAAAATTCAAAGATGTGCGCAGAATATAAAAAGACAGGTCGTAATCCAAAATTGAGCAATGCTCTAGATGTAATCCAATTATTAGCTTTAGCTCTTTGAATCTGATGATGAGGGAATGAAGAAGATGTCGACCTATCATTGCAGCTCCTAGACAACAATCTACTTGGTAGAAAATGGAACAAATATTCGACAAAATACCTGACTCCCTTCAGAGAGAAAATGGATATGAATTGACAGAGCTAATGTTACCAAATATAAGTCAGATAACTGAACAAATTATATTGAACAAAACAAAATGCCTCGCACAAAATTACAAGCAATTGAAGAAAGGGTTTCAAATAGCTTGAAAAATAAATTAACGTCAATTTAGTGAAGCTCCCTAATCAACAGCCGATGACGAAAGCCTGAAATAAATGAAGCACATAGAAATATGTGAAACGCGAAGTCATTGTTTACAAATGTTATGAGAATCCAAAAAATCCGGTGGGAGCTGAACCGATGACAAGATGAATTTGAAAAAATCAACCCTTAATTTCTCAGGAGATAACAGAACAACAGCGCCAAATTTTTAACTTCGTCGGCTAGGTGACCATTCAGAAGGAAAAAAACTCGTCCGTTTGTAAATTAAAACTCATCGCCGTAACTGAAGCTAGAACCTTGCCTGAAGATCAAACGCCGAGCAACGAACATGAATGGTGCATTCCAAGCCAAAACCTCACATCCAGCCTCCAAAGAAGTCATCTCAATGCACTACCGTTCTGAACTGGACAACATAAACAAAATGGAAAATGAGGACAAACCATTTAAATATGTAAATGGGATATACCTAAGAATGTCAAATAAAGAAATTTTTCGTAACGCCAAAAGAAAAATGAATGTAACTTAATCTACTATCAAGAACACCCAGACCAGGACTGAGGAGACTAACACTGAGAAATTCGTTAACTTCTTACTGTAAATTATCCGCTATGTATCATATGTGGTAAGCTAGTTCCGTGCTACATCATCTATTTCCGATGGACGAATTTATAGACTGACTACCTTACGTGAATGTAGCAGAAAAGAACAGAGATCAAACGACAAGTGATTGTGAACGTGGAGGTGTGGAGTCCTTCATAGCTGTTAAATGTAATATATCAACAGAACTTTAGTTATTGATGAACGACAGCATTGAACAGTATAATCAAGAAATTAAATGTTTTGGAAATGATATTATAAATTGGACTGTATATTATTATATATACCACCATGACAGCGATAGCATACATATAAGCCATCCTTTAAGAAAATTAAACGAATACGATTTTGAAGAGAAGATACCGAAACTGTGAGCTATTAATCAATGGGTGATTACAATCTTCCCCAGTAGTTCCCCTGGGTTCAGATTGTGAAAAAATGTTATATAAAGTGAGATGCTCCTGGACTAACTGTCACAGTTTAATGAAAATTATAACATAATGTAAAATTCTTGATTTAATGTTCAAGCGTATAGACATAAAAAGTTGGAGAAAAACAGATGCCATCATTGAATGAAAGATAAACACCATCCAGCGTTAGTATACGAGTCGATACCCAAGCTAGTCTTGAAAAAAACAAAGCACCAACGTAACAATTTTAAATAAGGCAAATTACAAAGAAACTGAAAACCTTTTTTGCCGCCCTTTTTGCTTAATGAAGGGATTGCTTGATTTGTGGCCAAGATATAGCTGATAATTCTAAAAATTATCCTTGTTGTTTTTTCTAAAGATTTGAATCCACAATATAAAACCAAAAAAGAAAGCACATTGAATTAACTAAAAAATTCAGAAAGAATGTCACATAATAATAGTTTCGAAATTAAGATCAGGAGATGTAAAAAAATGAGTGCAAAAATGGTTACAATGATTATATATCGAAAACTGAGGAGAAAGATGAAAACGGAGATGCCCAGTTAAATTTTTGGAAATATATTAAAAACCAAGAGGCGAAGTTGATCTTATATTCCCATCAACTTATGTCCTGGAAGCTCAGACAGCAAGGAAGTGGAACGAAATGAAACTACGTTTAAAATCGCATCGTATTAATGAAAGCATTTACGAAGAAATTCGAGATGAATTTCCACAACTCATAAATTGAAGATTCTATAGCCAACCAGGATGTTAAACCTCGGAAGCTGAGGTGGTCCCGCTTTGATGATGTTTTTTGATCAATTATGTAAGTTGGACATTAAAAAAGGTGCTGGGAAAAAAACCCCGACGGATACCCATCAGCTTTCTGAGAAATTGTGCTGCTGGACTTTTCCGAACGCGTTATCCCAATAATCTTCAGGCAAATCAGTAGAATCTGGCCATCCTTCCACAAAAGCTTGTAAATTTCTCCTACATTAGCCCTATTCAATATAATCAGGATCTAAATCAACATAACTAATTATAGACCTATATGCATTCAATTCTTCAATACCCAAACTTATTCGAAAAAAATTATTTTGCCTTCAAATAACGCTTTCCTTTTCAAAAAAAACAATTATCTCGCACAAAACAACAAATGGTTTTATCAACGGCAGATTCTACCACAAACAAATCTTCATTATATATCAACTAACGAACTGATCAGATGAATCAAGGTAAAGATGTACTGCGGTATATACGGAATTTTCAGCCAAAGCTTCGATAGCGGTAAAACTACGAAACATATTTATGTAATAACTTATCGATAATGGACGTAGGGGCAAAGCACTGGCCCTGGTTTCATTACATAATCTGACGGAAGATTTCTTCAAGTACGGGTATACGGCCACAATTTCAATGAATATAGAGCACCTCAGGCCCGTCCCCAAGGATCACTCTTGGACCGATCCTGTTCAATATTTTTCCATCAACGATTTGGCGATAAATTCCGACTCAGATTTTATTTACTTCATGCAGATGACTTTGAAAATAATTAGAAAAATTAACTGAAATTATGGATGAATGCGCATTCTCGGAAAGATATTGAGGAACCTAGCACGTTGGTGTTTGAGGATTAGGCTAAAACTGGACCGTTGATCAATGTGTGGGTGATGTCTTTCTCGCTCTCCTCAACGACAACCGCAGTTATTACTAGGTGGGCACCAACTCCGAGGGAAGTCGAATCGATAAAGACTTTGGGCGTCAATATGCACATAAATTGGAAGTTCTTTCGAATCATGTGGAAAGATGAAAAAATCCAAAGCATACAAGACACTGGCGTTATTACTCAGATCTGGAAGGAAATTTAACAATGTCTATATGTTAGTAATCGCTATAATTTTACTTTGGTCCGTCCAATTAATGGAAATATTGCCCTCAACATCTTGGCACCATAAGCCGACATTACTTTCGGTGGATGGAATCGAAAATATATTGCAAAAGAGTTGTAAAATACGTCGAGATCTATATGGGGCATCAGAGGGTCCATGACATGAAAGCACACGCGATGAAGTCTATTGATGCATATTTGAAATAACTCACTCTCCAAGGGCGGAGAACAAATTGCAGAATATCTTAATATATTTTTTTAGATCAATTAATTGCAAATTGGAATATGCCAAGAAATATTAGAACAATTTTGAATTGTCATTTCAAAACCTGGACTTGAAGATCTGTATAGTATTACTGAATTCAATTAAGAACTAGAAAATTGTGTATATTATGGTCCGAAAAATAGAATAGCAAACCTAGTAAATGAATATTGTTCCAGCATAAACTTCTTCGGGGGATCCACATCATCATTCTCGATACAGATAAAGAAAATTATACAGATAATGTGTTATTTTTAAAATATTTATTACAAAGGTTGTAAACACAACGATATGATGTAATACGGTTTAATCTCAATTTAATTTAATTACTTTAATTATATGCATCGATTGGTTGTATTTAGAAATTGTTATAGTGTATTGTATATTGAAATTGTTATAGTATGGTATATAAGTTGTAACCTATATGTACAAAGCCAATTGGCGTGAATAAGTAAATAAAATAAACTAAGAATTCATCTTACCAACCAGGATGCTATTGCTAAATGCTCACCTTAAAAGGGTTTTAGGGTCCAGATGCAGATCTGCAGGATTTGTAACTTTATCTGTAGACCAGTTATTTTCTATGTACGCTCTTGTGAGAATAATTCCACGTGAGAGTGGCAAATCCACATCTTTCATATGATTGAAGTCCAGGATAACTTTCTTATCACTTTTTTTTTTGTTTCCTTCCAGCGCACATGTTTTCTCTTTTACTGAAATAACAAACAATAGTTCATCTGACTACATCAGTTATCCTACGAATCATGAGTAACTTACAATAAAGAACTATAAATTATCCATTATCTTGCCATTTTTAATGTCTATAATCAGTCTTCATAAAATATTCTGATTTTCATTCTAAGAGAAATGCAATACATCAATGATTATGTTTTATACATGTATCTCTTGAATACTACAACATGAATGTTATTAAATCAAAAGACATAAATATTCTTTACAATAAAAAATAAAAGAAGAAATGAAATACACTTATGTCTCTTCTAATTGGCATTCTGTTCAAAAAAGTAGATTTTATGACATGACACTTTCAAATTTCAAAATATTTTGGGACATTGTTGTCCGTGATACATACTACATATGAAAATGTTTGAATTGATTGTTTGGCAACAATGCACTCTTAAAAGCATAGACTACTTGTGACCACCCCTATATCCTTTAATTCCCCCCACCCCCCAAAGTTTCTACATGTTCCAAAAATTTGTGATTATATGTAAGATACGTAGTACAATTATTTATTAAATATAATATATTTAGCTTGCTATTCTTGCCATTCAACAATAAAAATCTTTTAACCTTTTAGCTACGGAGTCCTTCTGCACTCCTAGCAGTACAGACATTTTTAAATAGACGAATTTGCTTGACCCCTGGGGAGGTTTAACTTCGGCGAGTGATGACAGCTACCCTCCCAGTGTTGAAAGTCCTTCTTGATAGATATTTAAAGGGATTAACTGAGTAAGAGAGTGTACACTTTTCCTCTGCAAAATGAAGTAATATTATTTTATGGAATGATCCTCTCTGTTTTTTTTTGTTTTTTTTTTAAACTTTTTTTTCATTCTTTATGCCACCCTTCCCGTCTGCACAACGTTGCATTTCATGTTAACAATGCCTTTATATTTAGAATATTTAGCAAAAGCAAAACGCGACTGCGATCGCCCATGAGAAGCGTGGGCCGATGCGGGTTTGTTTGGACTATGGAATGTGACGGGAGGTGGTACACAGTGAAGCGTTACTTATAAGTACAAGGGACTAAAGAAAAAGGCGCCCTAACAAAAGAGAAGCTTTGTTAGGCTGAAGAGATATTTGTATAGAACCAGAATGATGAGTTTATACCAAAACAATAAACTATTAAGACATTGCAAATAATACAAAACAATACATAACAAAATATAAAATAAATAAATTTATTGCATTGCTATAAACACGAGTTTACACCATTGTTACCTCCTACTGAAGAAAAAATTATTTCCGGCACAATTGAATTATTACCTATGAAATTAATGTAATATATTATGGAACTAATTAGTGGATGTTACATGTATATGCCATGCGACATCCAAATTCCTATATAAAATGAAAACATGAATCATTTATTCTGTTCTTAGTGTGGTATGTGATGATGATGATGATGATGATTATTATTATTATTATTATTATGATGATGATGATGATGATATTCGAATGGCGTCTCCAAGCGAAGGTTGACTGGCGATCAATATTCCCCTACATCTCACGAGCTGCGAGACTCTGTAAAAGCAAGAAATATCAGAGGAGCCCACGCTCGCTCTTCCTACCGCAAGACCGTACTACATCAACACATCCCTGCCTGATAGCGTAGGCCGGAGCTCCGATGCATGAGAATCGGAGCAACGCGGCTTGCCATCCGTCAGCAAGTGACAGATAAGAGCCGACACGCGCCTCTGGAGGTCAAGCCAAAACTATCCCGTTCGTACGGCTGGGTTGAAATGCTCTGGGAAACCTCTTTCCTATTCGTATTTAAAAGGTTAAAAAGGCAATTACTCAAAAAACAACCTTTTAAAATTTATGAAAATCGCACACAATACATTGCACGCATTCAGGATGTTCTAGAAGCTATCAAATTTTTTTGACTATATCTTAAAAGGACCAAAAATTACCATACGTAATACCTCAAGTGCTTCGGAAATAGTCGATAAATTCTCGACTTGCAAAGAGAGGAGGAGATTTATCTGAAAATTCCAAAGCACGAGTGGTATAGGACAATTCCACAAGTGAAATTATGTCAGTTCCAAAATGCACCAAATATTGAAAATAACTGAAAGCGTATGTTATGTTATAGTACATACACTGTTTATTGGACATCGACATAGTGAACAAAGTATAATGCATAGTGAACAAAGTATAATGGTAAAAGAAGCTCAGAACAATCAATGAGATCATGTAGTATTTTGTGGAAGAAAATTAAATCATAGAATTTTCTCCTACCCGGAAAGAGTTCTCAATTTAAATAAACAGTAGAATTTGAAAAGGTCATGATCAAATCTATGAATTGGTGTCACATTTCTGAATGTTAGGTAGAAAAGAAATTTAGGTAGAACTTTTCCCAATTGATTGATAGTTAATTTAGCACAAGGTGACCAAATGACAGAGGCATATTTTAAAATTTAGTGAATCAAAGTTTTATAAAGAATTAATAAGTTATCAATGGACTGGAAGGATTTGGCGTTGCGCAAAATCAGACCCAAGGAACGATGAGCTTTATTTACTGTGACAGTAATATGTATATTAAAATATAGTTTAGAGTCAAGAATCACTCCAAGATTCCTAATGTTAAGACACTGGTCACTGTTCAGACAAGATTCACCACCTAAAGGTATCTCATGACATGACTCCGGGCAAAGGTCATTGCATAACACGCATCAGTATGGAGTTCAATTATGTTTGTAGAGCACCACTGCAAGAAGACAAGAGATCCTCCTGTAAGTGGTAGATATCATTAAAATCAATAAATCTTGGGATAATCTGCAAACAATATGATTTTACTATATTTAATAACACATGGCAGATCATTAATAAAAGTATTATACAAAATTGGATCCAGATGAGAGACTTGAGGTACACCAGAAATAAGTACAAATGGCTCGGCATGGCCATTAACAACGACGTACTGGCTTCTGCCAGAATGATATGAGTCTATCAATGACATGAGAGGATCACTGATGCCTGAGTAGGTTGCAAACCTAGGCAAAATTTGTGCATATCGACTTAAAAACCTGATTCAAAAACTTATATTATATAGTTTTTAAATATAGTTACATTAGTTGTAGTAGATCTATTGTTAGTAAAACAATGTTGCTAGTCTGAAATTATTGTGGAAAGGTGTGGTGCATTAGACACATGCTTCTTGAGAAGTTTTGAAACAGCACTAAGAATGGCAACAGGATGGAAATTTGAAATATCATTTTTGTCACCTTTCTTGATTGGGGACTTTTCTATATTTCCAAACTGTTGGGAAAATCCCCAGGTCCAAGAATTGGTTGAAGATATAATATAATGGTGGTGCAAAAGAAAATCTTCAATTGCACAAAAAAACTTTTGGGTATCTCTCATATGGTCTGGTAATTGGAATGTTTTTAAAATTGTGTTTGGTATATTCATTAAATAAAACGAGAAGTAAAATATGGTGGCAATTTCTGAAAAAGCACTGCAGCAGTTGGTACCAAGATGCATACCACTAGGCAACAGTGCCTAGTAGATGAATTAATAACCTTCCAAAAAGATTTAGGGTCAATAGAAGCAGATATTTCAATTTTAAGTACATAAGAGTGGAAAATGACACGCTGTAAACGAGAAACTCTGGATCGTAAGGCAGAAAATTTAACTGAATAATCAAATTGATTTTGTTTATACAGCTTGTGAAATTGGTTTTTTCTCACTACAATAAATACAATAAATGTGTTTGTCAAAGTCAAAGTTCCAGTCTATGCTACTAATATAATAAATGATAGAATCTTAATCACTATCTTTAAAGTTTTAGTACACATATGGTAATTTCACATCATAGTCAAGATGATTAAAAATCATTGGGTATTTAAAATAAAGATCAGGATGGTAGTATCTGTCCCCAACACAACAATAGATTGATAGATTTTAAAATCTGGATATTACCAAAATCACAAAAAATTAGATCAAGTAGTGAATTGTGATAATTATATATAATATTGTGTTGGTTACAATTTAGAGATTCAATAGTATTAGACAGAACCAATGCAAAAAGTAAAATGACAGCCTGGAACAGAAAGGTATAGATGTATGGGCTCCATAAAGTACGTCGTTCCAATAAATCTTTGGAAGGTTGTTGTCACCAGCAAGAAGGGAGGCGGAGGAAGGATATCTGACATAGATAGATCATGTACATTATCATGGTAAAGAGATATGTTAGAGTTAGGTGGATAGCAAACTGTATTACTTATTCACTTTACATTTGCAGTCAGAGCACTACAATCTGTTTTCATGAGGTCATCGCCAACTGAATGAGAAGATATTATATAGATGGCGGTAAGTGGATACAGGTCTGCTCATTGCACAGTACGGCAGAGTAGAAGTGGGCAAGAACATATTCATTGTGCATCAGATATGTGCAAAGGAGAAATAAAAATATTTTCTGTGCTTTTCGTGAATATTGTTGATGACACAGTTATGCACATGCTATCGTACTTCAGCTCTATCCATAGGTCTTTCTAATGGTATAAATAACCTCTTTTTCTTTTCCTCACTGCACTAGTTCATTGCAATATTTATAATTAATTTACTGTCAGAATGCACTCTCATATACTAAAGTAGATTTTATTTTCCAGCGGTATCACAGAAAAGACAAAAACAAAACAACCACTTTCCGCTAGACAGTCTCAGATGGCACCAGCATTGTGTAGATGCTGTTGTACATCCACATTATTCGTCCATTCTTGGATTTGTGTTCATTCAAGGAATCGCTTTAAAAGAAATCTTGAGATCCCTTTACATTATGCTTGTCAAATCTGTGATATCTTCGGCCGCACTGATTTGGTTGCCATATCGAATTCGTAATATGAAAAGTCTTGAAGCCATTCCACGTACGTTTTTGTTAGAAGGACAGTCTTTAAACTCAACTTACCAGATCCGTATATAACCCATGATTACACAGCAATAGCTTGGTCCCTGAACATCTTTACACTTGAATCTTATAGAAACTATACATCTCTTATTTTCATATACAAATTAATTCATGGATTCACAGAGAGCCCTCTTCTGCTTCACAGACCTGCTATCAATATTAGAACTACAAATGTTTTTTACACTAATATGCTCCGAGCTTCATATACCAACAATAACCGTATAAATAGAACTTGTACCGTGGGCAACGCTCATAAAATTTATATTTTCAAACCATCATATACGACATTCAGAAATCATTGTCAGCGAGAAATCCTTGAATTCCTATGATTTAATTATTTGATTTACTTATATATACTCCCCCGACTTCTTTTCTACACTGCTTGCGAGTTCATAAAATACACATTGCAACATTTGTTTGTATTGTGTGTCATTGTAACTAGTTTGGTTAGAAAAGAACTTAAGTCTGTGTATTTTTGAAAATAAAATAAAATTCTCCAGTAAATCAGGAACACTCCGATCAGGCTTGATGTCACAAAAAATAATGTTAGCAGAACGGAATCTGCAATCTTCAATCTCATTGATAATAAACTCAAATTTGTTTCAAAAAATCAAACATTTCATTTCAAAAGAAAAAATATAATTATTGAGAGCAATGTCCAGGGCTGTGTCTAGTTCTTAGTTGGTAATCAAAGAATAACAAGAAAGATCACCGCCAGGTAAACTTTGCGGTCAATTGTAACTGCTGGGATGGAAAGGGGCCTTGCAGATAGGACAGTATGAAATTTGTGATCCAGCAGAGAGATTTCTTACAGCAATAGCAAAATTTTCTTTGTGGACAGGGCACATCCTCAGTAGCCGAGATATCTCCAGTACTTTTGTTTGATGTGGAGGCGTTCATTCTTGCAATAAGTCTACAAGTATAACTGCAAATGTATAGCAAGCAATCCTGAAGCCAGACAGTATCCAATGAAGACACGAATTAGTAGACGTCTCATATCACCAATACATGCAATTACAAAAACATTACATGCAAATACCACTCAAAAACATACAGTCCAATCAGTTATTAGCAGGAATGCAATAAAATAGATCCAGAAGATAAAAATGCAATAGGTGATGTACACAGGCAGAAACAGACCTCCAATAAATAGGCAACATTGAGAGGTCGACAAACTCAATGTGAGTAGAATGAGGTTAGAAGCAACAGGAGGACAAAGGACCTTAAAAGCAACTTCATTGATATTAAAGTGATCAAAGAGTATTGAACAACAATTACTTATTATGCAATGATATTGACTTCTTTGATAATGAGAGTTACATTCCAGGAGTCTGAATTTATAGTCCTCCTTTACTATTACTTACTTTAAATTGTTTATTCCTTAGTGTAATGTGCATTAATATATTACTCTGCTATTATTGCGATACTCATTGTGATTTTAATTCTTTATGTACAGGATTATCCTGTTAATAAATAATAGTTGTTTTTTTTAAATGCCCATGAGACATATTAGCAAGGTTTTGATTGGAATGTGCGCAATGCCAGATGCACACAAATATGGACAATATATGAGTACTCAAAAAAGTACTGAAAATCACATACCAAACAATGGAAGTTCATGTTTGAGAAGTTTTAAGAAAATGGCATGACGTGCCAAAGCAAATCCTGCTGCACAGTATCACTTGCTGCAGTGGTAAGACACAAAACATCACAGGTCAGTAACAAAAAAGTATTGGCATAACTGCCCCATTGAAACAAGCTCACACAACTTGACCCCTATCAAAAAAATCGAATTTGTCCTTCAGTCCCCTTAAATACGGGCCACGTAATAATTAAAGAGCCATACACTTATTATGAGGGGAAATACTTAAGAAATGTACAATTTAATTCTTGGAGTGATGGAACCTTCAGAGCTGTTCCTAATCAGTAGAGACTGAAAAAGTATGTAGTACTAAATGTCAAAACATGTACATAAACATGTAATGAAAATGGTAATATGAAATAAATATGAAAAATTGGATATGTGAATTTGTGCTAAATGGTGACGATAAGTCTGAAAATTATTTTCAATAATTATTAATTTACTACTTTTTTATATTTTGTAAATACTTTAAATAATTTTATATGTTTATACATACTATTTTAGATTAATATGCCATTATAATAATAATAATAATAATATATTATTGTTATAAATAATGAAGAGCTTAACGTTAACATTTCACGAGATACCTTTTGAATTTCTCTTTCAGCCGGCTTTTTAAAAATAATTATTGCAATGTTGCCATTAGTAAAATGATAAATTATTACTTGCCCCCACATCATTATTAGTTTTGTTTTGAAAGTGTAGTGGACAAAATCATCTAAAAAGATGCCTACTCATGCCTCTGCGCAGCACAAAAAGATGCCAGTGTGAGAGCCACACACCTGCCTGTCTAAACTTTTGAATGGCAAAAACACAGAAACAGAGAAGTTGTTGCAGCTTATGATCTGTTGGCCACCTCCTATGCTGTGTACACATGCCAGCATCACACAGCCACAGTTGTCTTGAAAGGAGTCAAAAACATGCGGTTGCCAAAGTGCCAAAACAAGAACAAGTGCTCCCAGACACAGGTGGCTATAAGATGAAGATATGGTATATTCTGTGGGAACTTAATCAGCAGTTTGGTGATATGAAGCAATCACTGATAGGATAAAAAGCATGAGAGATAAAGCAACCCAGTTATTGCAACAATCATCCAATTATATGCACCTACCTGACGCCAGTGATGATGAACCAGAAATATTCTACGACCATGAACAGGAATCTTATGACAAAACACCAAGAAACGATTTTGTACTCATATTGGGCGATTGAACACCAAAGAGGGCAGGAAGAAACAAAATATATTACAGGGAAATTTGGTTTGGGAAGAAGAAACCACAGGGGAATGATTTAATAGATGTCTGTGCATGCAACAGCATGTTTATAGCAAACACAATGTTCAAGAAGCAAGAGAACATTTATACACATGGACAACCCCAGATGGCAGACACGAGAATCAAATTGACTGTATCTTGGGAAAATGTAGAAAGAGGTCTTCAAAACAGGATGTAACCATAATACCTAATGAGGACTGTGGAACCGATCATGAACTGTTGGTAACAAAAATAAAGGTTAGTTTGAAAGTAACAAACAAGGGCGAAGGACCAAAAGACAGGTATCAAGACATCCCAAACACATATAAGAAAGCTATCTCAAGGAGGGTGATAGAACTAGCAATGTACAAGAGAACTCAAAAACAGTTTGGGAGTGTATTAAAGAAGTAAAAAAAGTGGCAAAAAATCTCATCCAAAAGACACAAAAACGGAACAAATGAAGTTGGTTATCTGAGAAGCCATTAAAATGGCTGAAGAGAAAAAGAAAGCAAAGCAAGAGGGGGATTGGGAGAAAGTACACATGCTTAACACAAGATTTCAATACAAAGCAAGGAAAGATAAGTCAAAATTCATGAATGATAAATGTAAGGAAGCTAAAACATATAACACAAAGTTTAGACCAAAAGAAATGTTCCAGATTTTAAGAGACATCACGAAAGAATTCAAACCAAGAGTAGGAGCAGTTTAAGACAGCAATGGCATTACATTAACTTCAAGGCAAGAAATAACCAAAAGATGACAAGAAAGGGATTCAAGTATTGACAAACATTTCGTTACAAGGGGTTATGAAGAAAAACCCATGATAGTAGAAGAAAAGTCATGTGAGCCCTTAAATAATGGCAAATCTTTTGGATCAGATGGCATACCCATTGAAAAGATAAAATGTGCAGGTGATGCAATTACAGGAAGGATATTAGATCTTTGCAACCTGAAATGGAAAAAGAAAGATTGGCCCACGGGAGAGGGTGACTTTCCTTTTATAGATGTTATCACTCATTGCCTATTTATTTGAGAATAAGATCTGTTTGTGAATAAGTAACACTCACTTAATGCACACTCATTTTAAGTATACACATTCATCCCTTAGTTCCTCAATCTTGCTTTGAAGATTTTCATTTTGCTTCATTCAAAACAAACTATACCTTTGGCAACTGGCAATCGACCCCAATGAGCAGGTCCAGCAAACAGGATACGGTCAAGATTCAGATATGTATACTCTAGATTGCTTCCTTCTTGTACTTTCCTGAGTATCGCCTGTTGCAAATCTACAACCCGTTCTCGAGGTCCTGCTTTTGCTTGACATCCCACAGCTTGTATGTCTTCTGATACCACACTGCTTACAGCCTTCCAAGCCGATGTATCTCTCGCATCCTCAGAGATACCTAAAAACAAAATTTTTTACTCAGTGCAGACAGATACATGAAATCAAATAATATTAAGAAAGAATGAACTGAGAATAAAAAGAGAAAGGTAGCCTCGTACTGACTGACTTTACCTTCTTTGTCAACAGCAACATTATCATTGAAAATTGGATCTTCTGGTCCACAAAAGTCATTCATATCATTGTCATTTCTATCATCAACATCAAATAAACTATCATCAAAAGTAGACGCATGGAGGAGTGTATCATAATCAATATCTTCAGTCTCTCTGGCAAGAATTTCTCTAAATGGAAGTTCCACAATTTGTCCATTACCATCTGAAAAATGTCACAATTAAAATTACAATATTGTAAGAATTGCCATTTGCAAAATACACATAAAATTGAATAACACTTACCAGCATCACAATCAAAACTTACATCCATTTCTTTGTAAGTTGACATTTCTTGTTCCTTAGTAAGAAACTGTCTTTTCATTTCCATGAACACTTTGCTACTATCCCCAACTACACTTAATCTTGGAATAAAACAAATGAATGATGGTTGACAATTACTGAACTGTTTGCTCAAAACTACATACGTTGGATCTGGTTCAGCAGCATCCATTGTTATGTTGATTTTGGATGTATCTTTGGATAGTTTATGTTTCTGAAAAAAGATAAAAAAATAATACTTCTAGATCTGAAATTTTTAAGTAACGAGAATGTCTCAACCATTGTTCTCGTGTAAGGTATTTAGACTTGCAGGGTACCTCTCTGCTTATAGTTCACACTCTTTTAATGCTTTTCTATCAGCAATGCTGTAGATGAAGAGCATAGCAACCATTTCAATCACTGAAAACACTTTCTCAAATTAAAAGAAAATAATGACAAGCAATGAAACAAAACACTAATCAAAACTGGTGGAAGCCCCACTCTTCAAAGGCCTGTTTACTTGCCTAAAAGGTCCCTATTCCCTCTTACATGATCCTTTTAGTAGCAAAATGCTTCCCAATGAAACTGATTGCTTTTGCATGCGGCATGGCAGGTATCGAGAGGCTATGGGGCTGTGGAAGTACTGCGCTTCTTGTCACCTACATAAAATACGTGCTTTGACCCGCAGAAAATCATGTTAACTTCAAGCTTGAAACAGTGATATGAGGTCGTCAGTCAGGTACCCATTAGAGGTCCACTATGCTCATCTCAGGGGGGACTTTGATTATCGTCTTTGGCTGATATTTTTTTCAAGCTGCATAGTGTTGGAAGTTACAGCACTGCGGCGATATATTATTATCCAAGTTGTATTTTCTGTAACCGAGGTTCAGGTTCACAATAACTGAATCTTCTTACGCTTATTTGTAATATAAGTGAAAGGGGACCAGTGACAAGTTCACTATAACTGAAGATTCACTACAACCGGAGTCAAATGTATTGTTAAATTTCTTTAGTTGGGTAATGGGATGTTTAGAGCAATTGCTATTGCATTGTAATGATAATTAATAACCATGGTATGACTTGTTATACCATATAGAGAACAGCGATTCTTTAGAATTTACATTAGACAGTTTGTAACTTATTGATTTGAGTACAAAAATACATGACAATTTACTAAAGAATATTTCAAAGTGATCAAAGCATTGTTACAAGTATTTTTTTTTCATTATTTACAGAATTAAACTCATTATAAGTTCTTTTCATTTGCTAAATTTATTTTTATATAGACCCAATATTTATACAACAAAATTAAATAATCAGGAATGTCCTTAAGAGAAAAGGTGACATTAGTATCTGGAATTGCTGACAGGTCAATAAAATGAAAATATATTGCATATTGTCAGTAAAATGATTTAATTACCAAAGTACTACCCTAATAATTGGAGGAGAAAAAAAGAAAAGGATGAAGAAAGGAAGAAGGAAAGAAAAAAAAGGGGGCGGGAAACACACACACCCACACACAAAAACACACACACACTCTGTGGTTGCCGGTTTTTTTTTTTTTTTTTTGTAATACAAGCGTCAACGGGACCTCCGCCGTGCGTAAAATGGGACTAAAAGTGAGGCAGCTGCCCGCTGCTTTTCCTCAAGTATCCTAACTTTCCTCAACCTAGTTCCCTCCCATCCCACAAGATCCAGAAGGTGGATGAAGTAGCTTAGGGATTTGCTCTCCTATCCCCCTTTTACGAAAAATCCCCTTCTCACCTTCCTTCCAATTCATCTCTGCCGGCGGTAAGCATATAAAACGCTAAGGGAAGGTGACCCGGAAAATAAACCAGTGATGGGTTGATAGTCCTCAAAACGTTACACCAAGAGAGTCGAGCGTTTGACACGAATTCTCGCCACCGATTTGATTGGGTGAAAGCCGCCATAGTCGGTGCCGGCTCCATGGATTTTGGGGGGAGCAAGCTCACGAAGTGTTCTGGGAAAAGAATAGAGAGTGAAGTTTCTGGAGTTTGGGGAAGAAGATCGGGGATCTCTGCATTTTGTCTGCCAAGGGAATAACGTCACGGGGAGATATAAGCGGATGGTGAGTTCCATCCGATCTGACTTTGATGAGATGTGGACAATGGAGGTAGTCACTATCGTAATTAGTCGAAGACAGTTGAGGCGGGAGACGGCAGACTTCACCGCAATAATGGGGTGTCGATCGAATCTGATGGTAATGGAGGGCTTCGACAGAGAAGCGGAGTGGCAGCCTGCGGGGACAATGTAATTGGCCGAAGACCTGTTGAGGCGCCGCGGACACGGATCTGCCGCTGAACGTCGAGTGTTGGTCCGAATTCTGATGATCGTGGTAGTCTCGGCGGCGGAAGCGGAGTTGCGAACTCGCAGGTTAAGAATGTGATTTGCCTGAACGACGGTGGAGGGTGGAGACGCAGGTTTCACGCACAGACTTCCTGATATTGGGCCCGAATGCTGATGATTGTGGTGGGCTACCTTAAGACAGCGGCGGCGGAGTTGCGGACCGCGAGTCAGGCGGGTGAACGAACTTCGTCAGGAAAGAGAGACAGCTGACTCTACGGGAGTGGCAAGAAGAAAGCTATAGGAAGTCGGTGCAGGGAAGGACATTCAACATGCTGGAGTTCCCTCAGGCACTGCACAATGCGTCGAGGGAGGAAGAGTACGAGGTCGCCGAATAACGTCACTCATTATCGCCCGAATTTGTTATTAAGGGCAAAATGAGGAGGCCCTCATTATGCGACATCTAAGGCAGATCAAGGGCGACCCACATCTCTGAAGATGCGGGTCGAGGTGGAAGTCGCAAAGGTAGGAGGAATGCGCCGGATACCTGCTGCTGGAGTTGGGAAATTTCTGCACCAGCCTCGAGATATTGAAGCTATATCCAGAAACTGGGGCGAGTTAGCAAGAGTAACGACGCGAAGAGACGAAAATGACTTCGAGATTCGCGACCTTGACGACTGACAAAGGCAGGCTGAAGTCTGTGAAGCTGTAAAGCGGGGAGACTGAAAACGCCCTGTTGAGCTAGCAAGTGTCAATATTCCGTACGGAGGGCTTACAGAGGCACAGAAACTGCAGGGTAGTCGTCTAGCGACGGAACTAGCCAGGAGGGCATTGGGAGCGGCCCGTGTTCGCATTGGGTGGGTGAACTACCGCGGTCAGGAGAAAGTAATTGGTGGCATGAGTGTTATCGTTGTTGGGCGTTCGGTACATCTGGCGGCGCGATGCCAAGGACGGACAGGTGAAATCTGTTCACCGATGCGGAGAGACGGCCACTTACGTCAGGCTGCAAAAGCGCTGAGGCGAGGTTGTGTGCTGCCAAGAAAATAAGTAGGAACCACCGATACGGGGAGTTTCACATTCCGGCGTACCAAGTAGCAATGAAGGCAAACGGATAACAGAAAATGAGAGTTCTCGCAGCTAAAATTTAAATCATTGGTGAGGCGGCCCAGGACCTTCTCACCCAGACGGTGGGCGAGATGAATATTAGATGTTGCAATACTCTGCGAGCAGTACAGAAATATTGTCGGTCACTTCAGTCCGTGGGTTTCGGATGCGACTAAACGCGAGCTGTGCAGTATGGATATGTGGTAATAGTCAGTCCAGGTATGTTCTGCAAGTCCAAGGGATGGATTCCCTGGTCAAAGGGTTCGGTGTATATTTCTTTAGTGTTTAAATGCTGCACCGTGCATACGCTTGAGAGTTCGAGGAATTACTTCATCGCTTAATAGGATGACGGCAGAGAACGAAGGCCTCTATTATTGCTGGGGGCTTCAATGCATGCGGCCACGGAGTGGGGCAGCAGAGTAACGGAAATCGAGCGGGGCTCCGGAAGCCTTTGACAATTTGGATGTCTGGCTCGCAACACGGGGGGCCAGTCCGCCTTGTAATGAAATGGTCCGCAGCTTGGTCGTCACCTAATTTCGTTTTAAAGCAGCCTGCTAGACGTATTGTATCATGGAGGTTAGTGCCATTATACACACTAGTGACACACCAAGCTAATTGTCTATGAATGAAAGAGTCAGTGCAATGTTGGCCCCAAGGGGTAGAAGGAATAGCTTGTTGGAACACGGAGATTTCGACTCGTGATTCCTCATTGCATTGATGGAGGGCAAACACCTGAAGATATGTTGGCCCGGTGACTCTGAATATATTGTAGAAAACGTAATGAACGGCGGTATTTTGACGCTTGTGTGATGCGTCAATGACAACAAGGTCCAAGGAGAGAACGCCGTCGCTTCAGTGTACTGGTGACTGAACGTGAGATCGGGAATTTCAGCAGGAATGCACCGAACACGTAGATTGGCACAGCGCGCCTGGAGCGCCTGCCAAACATATGACATTTCTTAGAAGCAACATCTGGACGCAGAAAGCTTTCCAAAGCCATTAAGATTATAAGTGTCGTTGCTGGAGTAGAGCTTAGGGGAGGAGGCGGATGCTGAACCCTGGGACGCGTCCGTTAATAAGCTGGTAACGGCCAGGACTCAGGGTATGTTCAGCGACCACTACTTGGCCCGGTTTTCTTGGGAAAAGTTGTAAGCTACCTTGTTCCTCGCCAGGCGAGATATGTTACATACCGAAGGATGTTTGGAAGATCTAGGGGTTCCGGCAGTCACGTTGGATGAACTTTTCAGAGCTTGCGGAAGGTTCCAAGATTGCAAAGCCCCGGATTAGTGGGGTACCAATGTAGCAATTAGACTCGGCCCGATCTACTTCTTGCAGGCATATAATGTATGCATACGAGAGGGGAATTTCCCCCACCGTCGGTGGAAGCGCACAGCTAGTCCTTCTTCCCGAAGGGCGATAAAGCACCTACTGATCGGCAGCCTATCGCCAATATGCTTATGGATACAGCAGGCAAGTGTTTGGAGCGGATTATTGCAATCGTAATTGAGTCATTTACAGAGGGGCCTCAGGGATTGTCTGATAATCAGTACAGGCTTTAGAAGAAGCGCGAGATCCACGTAGATGCAAGTTACGGTAGTCAATCGACATCGCACGCAAGGCCCATTGAAGGCCAACGATGGAAAGGCGGTCCTCATGAAGTATTGTTGTATAGTGACCCTACACGTGAAAAAACGCTTTTAACACTGGGCAAGGTGAGCTCCATTCTTTCCGTGCGCTACTAACTCTTGAGTTCCAAGGTAACAAATCTCGAACTTTGTAAAAGTTACTTTAAGGAGAGGAATCCTATATGACAGCTGGGACTGGAGTAGAAATCTTATACGGTCACAGGGGTCCCACAAGGCTCGGTACTTGTCCGATGTTGTGGAACATTATGTATGACGCCGTGTTGCAAGCTCGAGTTGCCGAAAGGCGCAAGAAACTATTTGGGATTCGCTGACGATGTTCAAATTGTAAGTTGTCGGCAAATACATCGAAGTCACGCAGGTTTTGCAACGAGGCTGTGGCGGAGATCCGGGGTGGCTTACGTGGTAAGGGCTACAGATGGCGCCCAAAAACAGAGGCTGTGCATTGGTGACGGGCAGAAAAGTGAGAGAGAGTATTGCTCTTAAGTAGGAAGCTGAAAAATATCGCAGCTGTCACTCGAGGTACTTTTGGGAGTGCATCTTGGACGCTTTGACGAGCATCCTGCGCAATGTCTCCGAGAAAGCGTCTCGTATGCATCCGCATTGGCACGCATTAATGCCTATTAGGGGGTCCTGGGCAAAGAAGCCGGAGGCTGCTGACTAACGTACTTAAATTCCATTCTTCTCTACGCAGGCCCACTATTTGGGCTGATGCCATGGGCATTCAGGCATACGCCCGTGGGGCTAAGTCGGTGCACAGAAGGTCCGCCTTGCTGGTTGCTCGAGCGTTTTCCTTCTCACCTATCGCTAGCTGACTCGCGTGTGTGTGTTAGCAGATATGCCTCCGATCGACCTCATTGCGCAGCGAGAGACTAGACTCTATTGCGCAAGCGGGAGGGGGTTCAAACTGGAATAACCATTACGAAAAGGGGAGGGGGGTGAACAATGGCCAATGGCAAACAGTACGATGGGAGCAATCATCAACTGGGCGATGGAACATTTCGGGTCATCCCGACATCATGACGTGGATTCAAAGGGAACATGGTGCATTAATTTTTTATCTAACTCAGATGCTGGCAGGGCATGGATTGTTACCGAGAGTATCAGCTCCGATTCCGGTTGACGATAGTCCTCATGCCCAAGGTGTTTCGCCGGTGGATTGAAGATGTAGAACACGTGTTCTTTCATTCTGTCCAAACGCTTCGCAGTGGAAAGGGAAAACTTCACAGACTCCTCCAAGAGGAAGTTGACCCTGAGACCATCGTCATCTAGGGATGCTGCTGACACAACAGTATTGGGAGTGCGGTTAGCCACCTATGCCGCAAAGGTCCGGAAGACGCCTCCGCTCCGAGGAGCGTTACGAAGTGTCCCCGTCATATTTCGGTGAAGTGCGAAAAGCACATCCTCCTTCTCGCGATGCACAGCTGACGGCGGTTCCGCGGGAAGGAATAGGAGGAAAGGGAGGGGTTTTTAGTGGGTAGGCATAGGCCTGCTATGAATCGACACGCCTGCGGGTTGCGGGCCCGTGTGTCTTTAGATTTTCCCCTGCCCCCGTAAAAACACACACACACACCACCACACACACACACACACACACACAATGACAAAAAATATATTTACTCTGTAAATATCATTACCATAAATTGAGAAAAATTAAACTTACCTTTCTATACTTTTTCTTCTTTGCATGTTCAGCACCTTCCTCTAAAGCATCATCATCACCACTTCCACTATTTTTGGAAGTAGGTAAGTCTCGAGCTCGACTTCCAAGACCTTTGGCAAAACTGATTCCATCCATGTGAACCCTATCAACTCGAGAAGCATATATTTTGGCACTGGCATCCAGAGTACAGCCCACTACCTAGAAGTAAAACAACAAGATTCATTTAAGAACAATGCTATATTTATATAAATCTCTTAAGTAACTGCAAAAACTGTCAATATCAAATTTATTTATGTATTTATTAATATTTACACTACTTTATGTATTTATTAATATTAGACTTAAATCTATTATTCATTTGATATTGGTGTTGGGTGACAGTCGCAGCCAGAACCCATCAGAACCACGTCACGCACCGAACCGAACCACTTGGCGCAGGTGCCCCCTCTGAGCATTTTGTCTTGAGCCAAGTGTGCACCGGCTAGTGTGCCGTCCCTTGCCACCCTACGCCCCCACAAAGGGTTTGGCACGCTCAAAAAGATACATCCCCACAGACCCTTTCCGCGAGTCACCCTTAAAAGATGAGAGGGAGCTTTCCACATCCCTGCCTCATTCCTTATCCTCAGTGATTGTTGGGTTAATCACCGGAACAGTCGTGTTAGGGTTTTCGTTGGCACTCAATCCATTAATCCCTGAGGATGTGTCAAGTAATAAGTGAGTCGGCAGACAGCAGTCCCGCCACCTCCGAGATTGCCAGAATCCTGAGGTCGCACAAAGGCAACCAATTAAAAAGCATTACAAAGTACATCGGTAAGGGGAGGGATTGCCTGGGATCTATCACCAGAAAAGACTAGTGGAAGGTTCAAGAAGTCAGATAAAAAACAACATTCAAAGTATCATGGCACGTAACAGAGCGAAGGCCTTTCTAAAGAGGTGGGGATAAGACAGAGGAAGCTTCAGACGGAAGAGAAAACTTACTTCGTGGAGGGTGCCCCAGTCCGGCATCAAACAGTATTAATGTGAAAAGAATACTATCATATTATATTATCATATTATTATCACAAGTTATCATATCGTCATCGAGTCGCAGTTGGAATCGAAAGTGTTTTGCCTTACGTCGCGGGTTGACTGCCGTTGTCGGTTTATATATACTGATTTGTTTGTGATATAATGCTTTTCGACAACTTAAGTTATGAAATCTGTTTTGTTTCATCTGTAATATTCCATTGACCGGTTAGTGATTCATTTATTCGACATGGACAAGTGTTTGAAGTGCGGTGGAGTTATTATTCTTCGGAATACACCAAACGATCCAAACCTTGGCAATTAACTCAATATTGAGCGTAATAATTGATTTTGAGATAGAGTTTAAATTTAATAAACTTGGTAGTTTGAAAAATTCAAAGGATAAAACTAGTTCATCTGATACAAATGATAAGGTTAGACCCATCAAAGTCTGATTGCCAAGTGGAAAAGAAGCTCTGGAAATATTAATAAACAAAAAAAAACCAGTAAAAAGGTGATGCTAAGATTCGTCCTGATATGACTCCTCGTCAACGAAGTCATTTGAGAGGACTTACTTCTGTAATAAAGGAGGAATCAAAAAAGGGCAACAATAACCAACGTATCAAATACATTAACAATATTCCGCATATTATCGATGGAGCATTCAAGGGCAAATCTAAATATAGAGATCAAAAAAACTAAACATCAGGAAATCCCCATCTAACATCTCTGTCTACTGTCAAAATCTTTGTGGACTCCAAACTAAGCTTTCCGCCTTTAACAACAATGTAGTGGCATTTGATGACATTGATATTCTAATTTTCACAGAGACTTGACTACATGAAGGGATTAATGATGCTGAGCTCTACCTTATTCATCACAATATCTTAAAAAACGACAGAAGTGCAGCAACAAATCAATACAGCAAAGGCTGTGGGGTGATGATTGCTATTCACAAGAAATAATATTGTATTGCTATTGAATCCTGTAATTCTTGTGCAGAACAAATAATTGTTCAAGTCAAAACCGAAAACTCATACCTTATTGTAGCGTCAGTGTACATAACTCCAAAATCCATGTCAATAGCATACTCACAATTTACTGAAAAATTAGAACAAATATTTGAGATTAATCCTTTATCACACTTTTTGATAGCTCATTTTAACTTGCCACAAACAAAGTGGATAAATGAGGATCTTGGAGTTATGTATGAATGTTAGAACCGCTAATGATGACATTCAATCTAGTTCATTATTATTAACTCTGTAAAGTATTTAAATTTGTTCCAATGTAACTCAATTAGAAATGAATTTGGTAATATATTAGATCTGATATTTACTAAAAATCCACATTGTAAAATATTCAAATCTACAATGCCAATTATATCTTGTGATAAATAACATCCGGCTTTAGACATTTTGTTCAGTATTGATGTTAGTTTCTAGTCACTTTATACTGATGAAATTAGATATAATTTTAAGAGAGAGGATTATGTCGCGATAAATAACGATTTGATTGGCTTTCTTATTTTGTTAATAATTCTTTAGATTCATCTTTAGTTTATTTTTATAGTACAATATACAATAATACAATGTACAATATTGTTGAAAAGAATGTTCTGAAATACTTTGTAATTCAATCTAAATATCCTCATTGGTATTCCGAGGGAAACAATAAACATTTTGAAAAATAAATCAATTGCTCATAAAAAATATAAAATGACAACAGATTTGATAAACAATTGTAAAATATTCTCTGATTTTCACAAATCCTGTAAATCTCATATTAAAAAAAGACTATATTACATACATTGGTAATATTGAAAATTAAATCACTCATGATGTAAAGTCATTTTGGATATATACAAATACTAAACGTGGTACAACTGGCCTTCTGAATGTCATGCATTTTGATGATTTGTATACTACTTCTGGTATAGACATTGTTGAGTACTTTGCTGATTACTTTCAATCTGTGTATAACACTAATTTGAGTTATTGTAATATCACTGATGTTTATATGAATTCAATAGTTAATGTTGGACACATAACTATAATACAAAAAGTGGTTTTTACATCAATTCAAAAAATTGACACGAAGGGTTGTCCTGGACCTGATGAAGTTCCACTAATCTTTTTGAAAAATTGTGCATCTAATCTAACACCTATACTTCACTTTTCTTTCTCTAAATCATTAAATGAAGGTTCCTTTCCAGCAATCTGGAAAAGAGGATTCCTTACACCTATACATAAATCATCTCACAGATCCGATATGAAAAATTACAGACCAATAACGAAACTTAGTATTATACCTATACTTCTTGAATCAATAGTAACAGATAAATTATCTAAGCAACTTGATTTGATATTAATTGAAGAACAAAACGATTTCAGAAAAGAAAGGTCAACAACTACTAACTTATTATCTTTCCAGCATTTTGTAATCGAACAACTTGAACAATTCAATCAAATTGATACTATATACACTGATTTTGAAAAAGCTTTTGATAAAGTAAATCATGGTATATTATTACAAAAGATGAGTAACACTGGTATACACGGTTCATTTTTGAAATGGTTAGATGATTATCTGACATGTAGAATTATAAATGTCAAGTATAAATCTTTCATATCAAGAGACATTGCAGTTCCATCAGGTGTACCTCAAGGTTCTCACCTTGGGCCCCTTTGTTCTTAATTTATATAAATGATATTAAATTGAAACTTGATATGTGTAATTTCCTCTGTTTTGCTGATGACCTTAAAATATACTCAATTGTTAAAATATCAAATCACTATAAAACTTCAAGGATGTTTAAATGCCCTATTCCTATGGTGTACTGGGAACAAATTACCACTTCGTATTAGAAAATGTAAAGTAGTGACTTATTCTAGATCGAGGGATCCAATATTAACTAGTTATAGTTTAAACAGTGAAAAGCTGCACTTGAAACCTTCAGAGACCTAGGTGTAATATTTGATTCAAGAATGAAATTTAATTTTTATATTGATTATATAGTGGCTAAATCTAATCAAATATTGGGTTTGATTAGAAGAACAACACGTGATTTTAAAAATCCTCACACTTTTCGATTACTCTATCTAACATTGGTTAGACCCACTGTATTACATGCATCCGTTGTCTGGTCGCCATTTTGCAGTAACCATGTAAATAAAATTGAAACTATTCAGTATAAATTCATTAACTTTAATGCATGGAAAATGGGCCTTCCTTCGCCTAGACTAACTTATGACTATAAACTCATTGCATCTGTCATGGAATATTAACACCTTGGAATCGCATAGGAAATACAATATATTTTCTTGTATAAATTATCAAATAACCAGATAGATTGTAAATATTTACTATCCCAATTACCTTGGAAGTTCCTAAGTATAATCTTCGGGACACGGATCATTCGATAGTTGTGCCACCGGCAGTGAGAATGTACATTAGTTATTATGCCCCTCTTTGGCGAACGTGTAAAATTGCGAATGATTTGTCCTTACATCTCAATTTGACATAATTATTTCATGTTGTGATGTAAAGCTACATTACTTGTGGTATTTGAATGATTCCTACTACGTTTCTAATCAATTGATATTATATTCTATATTCACAAAAGTTATTATATCGACTACTAATATAAAATTCTATATGCATTATTCTGTATTTTGGATGTTTTGGTTATTTTGGACGTTAATAAACAATAAATATTATTGTTGCAGGAAACAGATTACTGCAACACACATCACAAACTTAGATAACTTGGAAACAATGTCTTAAGTCCTTAAAATCAAGTTTTCTTTTGACTAAAGAAATACATCCCTAAAGGGACATATGATTTCTGGGAACAGATGGGGAAATGGCGTTTGAACTATGCTTCTTAAGCAGTATTCTACAAAATACATCCTCTGAAATCTCTATTATATTTTTGATAATTTATATCTTCTTGGTACCCCTTAGTCTGTGTAGTCAGATTTGAGCAATAAGTTGAAATATCCATAAAATTAAATTGAATTAATAGATGCAGAAACAATATTTCACGATAAAAGTCCCTATTACACTTTCGGCAAAATAATACATACAAAGTCAGTTCTAAAAGTTATGTCATATTTTTTGTCGCCCCTATAAGTCGCACAATGGTCTGACTAGTTTCAATACAGTAAAGGGAGTTTTAGATTTTCAAAGAT